CAAAAGTTTATTCAATAATTTCCTAACTAATGTTGAATTCAATACTCATGGGCAAAGGATGAGAAGACTCTAACGTTTTCTTCTGATAACAGAATTTCAAAGGCATGACAAGACACGTGGGATAAGCTAGGATTTGTTCAGAAATACTGACAGAAATGCTGTAGAATGAAATTCAACCTACAGAAATACTTGAAAGTATGTTTTGTTTTTGAAACCATTAGGGTCAGGACATAGAATTTATAGCAATATTGGATGAGGGTATTTTGTCAAGTTTTCTCTCTCTCACACACAAACTGAATTAAAAAATATCAATTAAACATTATACTGCATGTTTTTGAATTCTTGCAGTTTGATAATACATGCTTTCTATAAACATGTTGAAGACCTCTCCTATTAAGCCCCTCTGAATAAAAGCCTGAATTCTCTTTTGAGTACATAATTTCAATTCATGCAGCCTTTCACATCTCCTACATACCTACTATGTATGTCCATCTTTCCATAGCTTCTGACCCACCTTCTTCTCTACCATTCTAGTCTTTAAAATTATGAGTGGAGAATAATATTAATATTGGCATGTTGCTTCTTAAAAGCTTTTTTTGGATGAACTGCTTTTAAACATTGCATGTGGGAGAACTGGCAAAATAATTTTTAGTAGTCCTGTAAGTACTGGGGCATGACACACAGACAGAAATGAAGGGGGAGCAACAGAAATTGTTTTCAAGGCAGGACAGTCATTTAGACATCACAATGTTAAGGCAATGATTTCTAATTATAGCCTATGCAGTTCAGGGTGGGGGTGTAGACGTAGTCCCATTATGTCAGTGTTAATTGAAACCATGAGAATGCAACTCTCTTTGGCATAGGAGCTATTAATTTTCATGGTGCATGTAACCACTTGTGCATTTCTGAAAGACCACAACAGATTTGCCCTTCCAGGCAAAAGTGCTGCTACAAGCAGGTAAATAAGAAATGTATCATGAACCATGACAAATAAAGATGGAATAAGTAATACAAAGATATGTAGCACCAGGGTATTCTTGCACCAGCTGTTACTAGTTAAGAGGGCTTTTATGAAGTTGTGAAGCTCAACAGACAAAGTTGAAATCACTGGCTTTTGGGGTTCCAAAAAACTCAAGCCAGGCAAGTCTATTTCAACTAAGAAGCGCCCTTCTTGGGAAGTCAGTTCCGCTTGCTGGTGCTAATAGCTTTTCAAAGGCTTACTGTGATCAAACCACTGCTCAGCTTCTAACTGCATCTCATCTAGTCCATTGCAAAAGCAAGCTAGAAGAGCAGGGCAGCCAGTCATAAAAGAGAAAGTGGGAACATCCCTGACTGAATCACGCAATCACCCCTGAGACCTAGATGTACTTCGAACTTGACTTTAAGGCCTTCTTTGTAGACTGAGTGTACTGGGTCTCTTCAATGAGGAAATATGTTCCATACTCTGAGATGTCTTTCTTCAAGTCTAAGGCAATTAATTTTATTGAGCACCCAAAGAAGATATGTTCACTATTTGGGTTGTCCTTGTTCCAGCACAGGGGCAGGTGTTAGAAAGGGTGGCAACCTTTCTAAAACATTGCTTTGAGTACCCAAACTGATAGATTTGTCAACATGCTTAATTTCTTTTTAAGGCTTACTAACTCATTTTCTTTAAAAAAATTTTTTTTCGTTTTACTAATTCATTTTCATTGGAAAGTCAGATTTACAGAAAGAAGTAGAAACAGGGAGAAATATCTTCCATCTGCTGGTTTACTCCCCAAGGCCAAATGACCAGAGCTGAGCTAATCTGAAGCCAGGAGCCTCTTCTGGGTTTCCCACACAGGTGCAGGGTCCCAAGGCTTTGGGCCATCCTCAGCTGCTTTCCCAAACCACAGGCAGGGAGCTGGATGGGAAGTGGAGCAGTCAGGATACAGCAAGCATATGGGATCCTGGCTCATGCAAGGCTAGGCTACTGTGCCAGATCCAACATGCTCAATTTGAAACATGGTTTTGATACCCAGATCACTTGTTGTCTTTCCTATACTACTGTCCTTTAAATTGTGACTCAGGCAGCTTAATAATTGTTAAAAAAAATATTTGCCCCAGAATAGAGATCAATTTTACACACACACACACACACACAATCTTGAGGGTTAGGTTATATCTGGAAAGCAGTTTTCTGCAAGAACTTAACACATTTTTGCTTTTAACACAAATTCCCACCAGAATCAACATTAGATTGTATTTGTGCCCACTTTACATTGTGTTATACGCTCCTTACTGTGTAAATGAGGGTGACTGACTCTTAAATATCACATTTAGGTTGGATGATTTTCCACAGTTTCTGAGAACAATGTTGAGAATGCAGTATTAGTGAAGCTAGAATTGCCCCCCCACCGAATCCTGGGAGATAAGGTAAGGTGATGTCAACAAAGGCAAGCCTCTTGCTTTCAATGGTCTAACTTCTATGTCTTGTCTAAATCACTTCCTTGTTTCAGTCATCCTCCCTGATCCTAAGTTGGAGGGTTCCAGGAATCTCACTTGTCTAAAGTGGCCTGAACCTTAGAAACTGAGGCTGTGTCACCTGTGGGAGCCTTTTTCAAAAGAATTATCATTGGAACTCAGAATTAGAGGAGGATAAAGGAGCCACCTTTCAAACACCTGCTTTCTCTTTCTCTAATACGTTAGGTGAACTACCTTGCAAATGAATTTGATACAAATTAGCTATGCAATATTTTAGAGACCCGATGGAAGTATCTCCAAGATTAACAAGACTGGCTTGCATTGGCAGAAGCTCAAGGATCAAACATTTCCCCGTTACCCTCACCTACCCTCATATACTGCAACAAATATTTGCAATTTATAATTAAATTATCAGGAAGAAAAAGACTAAACAAAACCATATTAGAAAAATTGTTTTCTGACAGTTCATGACCTGCAGAGAACAAACAATTCTGTAGTAATCAATGCAACCCATCAAGTAACCCTTATTATCATCCAATTCTAACATGAAAATCCTAGAAGTGCCTCTTTTTCATAGCATACTTGTATAGAACCCTTATCTTCTCCCTGACGAATATCAATCGCTTCTCCAACCAGCCTTGCAGCCTGCCCAGAACAGTTCTGATAGTTTATTAACAATTGCTGATGCCTGCTGTCTGGGTGCAACATTAATAAGTACTGCCTGGTTTACACAATAACTTGTGAAGTCATCCGAACTGTACATGAACTCTCTGCAGATGGCAACTTGAGTGTTCCTGTGCTATTTTAGTTGATCATTCCTCTAGTCCTCAAAACCATCAAGTGGGCTAAACAGAAGCTATTGTCCAAGGTTGGTACAGTGATTAAAGCCACCACCAGCAGTGTTACGGTACCATATGGGCACGGGTTCAAGCTCCCTGCACTATTGCACTGGAAAAGCAGTAGAAGATGGCCCAAGTCCTTAAGTCACGTAGGAGATCTGGATGAAGCACATGGCTGCTGGCTTGAGCCTGGTCCAGTCCTGCCCAGCATTTCTATTTCTTCTCTGGTATACAGACATGGATGGACTGAGGTGGTGGGGAGGGTACTAAAAAAGCCTGCTCACGTCATGAGGGTGTGGGAAACTGCTAGAGCAGTGAAACCTGGTTCCTCTTGAACTCTTGCTCAGGCCCTCTGCATGAATCAAGGCAAATGAAGCATTTCTGGAGGCAGCAGGAGCTAAAGGCACAGTGCAGTCTCACCCACTGGAAGATTCCTCTTCCCTTCTCCCCTTCCCCAGGCAGCTCCTCAGATGGCTCCAAGGAACACACTTCAATTGCAAATAAAAAACAAACAAACTGGAGTTCATTCCATCACCTCCTGCTTAGGTTTTACAATTTTTATAAACAAAGTCACCATCAAGGGCAGTAGGGTTTGCATTAATTAGCATAGAAAACTCTGTCTTATAAAAGACTGCCCTCCCATCGCAGTCCCGGGACACCACGCTCAAGGATGTCAAGTGTTTTTTCTAAGACTAGGTCTCATAGGCTCACCCACACTCACATAAAACAACCAAAAGTATAGCCTGTAGCTATACAAGGAAGATACCAAAGTTTCCAGAAACTTAATAAACACAATGCAAAATAACAGGTGTTTGGAGCAACAGTTAAGATGTTACTTGTGGGGCCCTGGCATGGTAGCCTAGTGGCTAAAGTCCTGTCCTTATACACACCACCAGGATTCCATATGGGTGCCGGTTCTAATCCCAGCGGCCTGGAAAAGCAGTCAATGACAGCCCAAAGCCTTGGGACCATGCACCCGCATGGGAGACCTGGAAGAAGTTTCCGGGCCCCTGGCTTCGGATCGGTGCCAGCTGGGGCATGCATCAGCAAACAGAGGATCTTACTCTCTGTATAAATAAAATAAATCTTTATAAAAAATGCTACTTGTAATCTCTGTCTCCTATAGATAGGAGATCTTGCATGGCAGACTCAGTTCCACTCCCCTTTCCAGTTAACTGCTGATTACAGATATTGGGAATCAGCAAGTAACGGTTCAAATAGTAGACCCTTGCATCCACTTGGGAGACCTGTATTGTATTTCCAATGGCAGGCTTGGGCCTTTCAGTAGTGAGCCAGTTTCTCTGCCTTTTCAATCAATTAAGTGAATGAATGAACAAAAGCTAATGCAGATTTGCTAAAATTTTTGAAATCCCTCATGTTTCCCTTGCTAAATGGGAAGGGGAATTAAGAGTTACAAAACAGTGTGGAGGCACTGAATCCATTTTTAAATCAAGATTCCAGAGGGATCATATATCTGCCTTGAAACAATGATTACCAAGGAAACCACTGGAAATAGTAATTTATAATTATGTTCATCGCAGAATTCTTTAGTGATTCTAAACTGTACATATACACATGTAAGGACAAAATGTGAGGGGGAAGACAAGTGAGAAACGGAAGCGCAAATGCAAGTGAGTTCCGTGAATCTTGCCTTTTCCCAGCGTTCACTTCAAAGGAAACAACACACAAGTACACACACAGAATGCAGCGAGCACTTACCACAGAGACTTTGCCCACTACATCTCTCGCCACTGCTAAGCCTTGAGCAAAAGTGCGTGCCGCCACGAATGCTCGGGTGACCTGTAGTTTCAGTTTTCGAGGCACATCTCCAAAGGGCTTCAGCTGCTCAGTGTACTTGCTCACACACTCCAGGTACTCATCTGTGAAGTGGTACTGCGAGTTCACCAGGCGGAACATGCGCTCCAGAAGGCGAGCCCAGAAGTCATTTAGCATTTCTTCCAGGTTCACGTTCCCCACCACGTAGTAGCGCTTCAGCTCCACAAAGAGATCTTTAAATAGCTCCGAGTTTTGCATGTACAAGCGGCCATATGTCTTCACAAACATATCATTCAGGGATTTCTCAGCATTTTCAAGGAGCTCTTTGAAGAATTCTAAAAACAAAACCAAGAAAACAAAGAAGAAAGAGAAAAAAGAAGAATGAAGAAAAGAGTATTTTAGTAAGTAAATAATGCAGGTCTTTCCAAGGAAATAGAAAAATGTGGAGTGTGTGTTGTATGGTGGAAGTGGTTTACTCTTCACAACTGAAATGGAAAACATGCTCATATTTGGGGTTATTTACTTTGGGGTAATCTGGCATCTCAGATCATTTGTGAATGCAAGGAAACATGTCACAAAGTCACCTACACATCTATGTCTAAAAGAAGAGACAAACAACAAATCCTAATTCTAAACAAACAGCTTTTCAGAAGTTAGCACAGCACACATTCATTTTCCATCACACATCCTAAACTGGCCCCAAGGTGAACCAGACCAAACCAATCCCAAGAACTGCCCATCTTGAGATTTTCCAGAACTTCTAACTGCAAGAATCAAAACCAAATTTAATCATACTCCTTAATTGTAACCTAAGACCAGGACAGATGTTTTCCAAAGTTTTTACTTGACCATGATTTGTTTTTGCTTTTTTCCTTATTTATCTACAAGGCATGTGTGGAAAATGCTCGAGGCAACAAAACATAATGAAACACCCCTACAAACAGGCACCTATGTTTTCTGAAAATAAGTTCTCAGACATCAGTACAAATGGGGCTATGAGGCTGACCTCGGGTTCCTAAAGGATTTATACAGTAAAATGTAGGATGCTGTACTTGTATGTGGTGGGGGATGGGCGGGAAAGGAGGGCGAGTGGATGGGGGGTATAAATGCTTAATGGACTCACCTATTACTTTTACGCATAAGACAACATGGAAAAATCATTGGAAAACACAAATGACAAGACAGTTATTTTAGATCAGCCTTTTTGGAACCCACATCACCACTAAGTGTGAAAGATTTTAATCTTTTTAGTACAAATGGCAAGGCAAGTTAGCTTTCTCCTGAAGGTTTTCTCGGGAAGTCCCATGAAAAGAGAGGCCCCCAGTGTGTCAGTAACATTAATCATTCTTCAAGAAGCTCTTGCGTGGTATAAAAACAAACACCTCCTGACACCAAGTTTAGAAGCAGGAAATATAAGAAATACCAAAACAAAATTAAAGGACCACATCAAATAGGAAACTGCCTCGAAGTGAACACGGAACAGAAAGAAAATATAATGCCTACTTCAAAGCCAGAACTTTGGCGAGCTTATCAAAACGCAAGAGCTACAAAAACCATTCTCTTCTCACACTGGGTGGGCAAATCAGAGACTGACAACTAATTGCAAATACTCCACCCCCCCCCCCAAAAAAAATCTGGTCAAAAAATCTGGTCGAGTCAATGGAAGCCTGTGGGAGGGAGATAGGCATGTGTGTCTTTCGTTACGTGCCAAGAAATTCTCTATGAATAATCTTTGCTTCCCCTAACCCATGACGTTGTGCTTCTCTGGGTTGAGGCAAAAAGCTAGCCCTTTATGGTTCCTTCCAGCCCATTGTCAACGTGAAGTGCAATTTTTAAAAAAAGGACACTTTGAGAAGTTCATGGAAAATGGAGTTGAAAGATAAGTTTACTTCAATGTAAAGAACTTTGAAATCCATGTATAAAAATGGTCTTCAAACAAGTCTTGGAAACTATCATTAGTATAAATAAACAAAAACAAACTATGCAGGGCTGTGGTTTTCTGCACCAAAATGAAGCTTATCTTTTCATTCCATTCCCCCCCCCCAAATCTTGAGACATGTCTGCGTACTATTGCTTGTCTTTGATTAGCTGCACTCCCCCCCCCCCGAGAAAGGAGAACGGATTCCCCCTGCAGTGTAAACAAGCAGGCAGCCCGCTCATGTGCATCGCAACTGCCCAGCCTGGCATTTTTACCTGAGCTCTCTCTCCTGAAAGTGACAGGACACAATGTACATCAAGAGCTGAGGGACTGTATGAGAAATTAGCTACCAGAGCAGACTTAAATTTTTTTCTTATTGTTTTCAATAATACATTTTATAGATACGGATTAATCCCTTTTCCTCCCTTTTCCCTCCATTTTCCGTTCCCACCTACAATAGTAGAGTCCTTCAGTACACATTAAAACTTTAACTTTTTATTCTTCCCCAAATCCCCACTAAGTGGTTCTCAAAGTGTGGGCCAAGGACAGCACACCCTGGCATCACTTGGGCACTTGCAGCAAGTCTATGTTCTCAGCTTCAGCCCAAATCCACTGACTCTGAAATGCCAGCAGGGCGGATTGGGGAGCGCAACCATCTGTAATCCTGCAGTACCCTGAACTTCTGAGTGCTGAAACTCCGCCTCTCCAGCTCAGGGGCTGTGCTGACTGTACAACACTCAGGACAAATGCAAATGTTTTAATTTGGGGAAAATGTCTTCTCCAGCAACTGCATTTTAGAAAACTAACATTTTGAGGAACGACTGTGTTAATGGTGTCTTGGAGTCAAATTTTCTTGCGTGAAGTGCCACAACTAAATTTAAGGTAGATGATTACATGTATGCCACCTGTCTTCTAGAATTCAAAGCTGGTGGGTCTGAGGAAGAAAGGGGAATCTTAAACATTGTCTGGTTCATGTCCCAAATGACACTTTCATGGTTAGCATCCACCGCACATAGCTCTTGCACACCACACACTAGTGGCATAAAGGCTGCTGGAAAGTTGTGCTCTTACACGCCCAATATCTTGCAGCAGATAACTCTCACAGTCACGGGTTCTTTCCCATAAGGGGTTGCTCATACAATTGGCACACATAAGACACTGAATGTTGCGAATTGTTTGACCATAGGCTTTCACATTTATTTAGTAAGTTAATTTTCTTTTTTTTAAAGATTTATTTTATTTTTATTGTAAAGTCAGATATATAGAGAATAGGAGAGACAGAGAGGAAGAACTTCTGTCCGTTGATTCACTCCCCAAGTGGCCACAATGGCCAGGGCTGACATGCTCCTTGTCCAACACCACTATGAAACTTTGGCTCCATGGCTTCCATTCTGCCTAGGAAATTGTGTGTGTGTGTGTGTGTGTGTGTGTGTGTGCATGCACATACACATTAGCTTGTACTTTAAAGAGATTAAGCTTGCTGTTATATATATGAAGTCTAATTCATTTCATCTCTCCAAAACTTTATTTCCTTTCCATTATACATTGAAAACTGCTTTAATTTGCCATGTAAGTGATAAATACAAAGACCACTTGAGTACGTACATGGCTAAGAAATGCTTACGCAATTCTACAGAAGTGATATCTGAAGTGAAAGAATCACAATTTAATCTCTCCAAATGGCTATGCAATTTGACAATTATATATTGACTAGCCATTACAGGTTCAAATCAAAGCGTACAGTTTAATCATTCCTCTTCATCAATGAAGCTATCATGAAAAGTTCTAGAAATACAAATTTCCTTCATCTAGTTCACCTTTGTTTTGTCACTATTCTTCATACATGATTTTATAAGTATACTAGAGATTTTCACAGAAATCTAGAAGACTTAATCTTTTTTTCATATAGCAAGCTCTGCCTCACCTGTGGGGGTCAACAGAACAAAGCTCAAAGGAGACTTAAATTCATTTTTCATTAAACAGTACTATTCTACCTATATTGCCACACTAGGAACTAGTAAGAATAGCAGATAATAAATTCTAAAATCCATATCAATTAGGTACAATATCAATGAAAGCATAATAATTTGCTATGAAGAAAAAAAAACATTTTTCATCTGTGCCTCCTGTTAAACTAGCAGCTCTCATATGTTCTTCATAATTCTTCTGTATCCCTGCCCTTCCCCCTTTCTTCCCCATGACATTTCCTTCTACAAAGAGGAATGGAGCACAAATTAGACATTCAGGTCCCACTCCACATCCATCAATAGCAACTTCATTAATTGCTACAACACTCATCTCCATTCCCCACTCCCATCATTATTCTCAGAACTCAGGATCAGGGTCAGATCTGAACTGCTAAAGAAGAGCTGTTTAGGCCAAGACACCCAGCAATCATCCTTCATAATCACTATGCCTACAACCAATTATAATACACTGGGTAGCTAAGAGAGAATCAGCCGAGAGCAGCATAAAGCAGAATTCTACCATGATCAGAAGCCACGTTAATTGGAAGTTAGATCGCCCTTGTAGCAAGTACTTGTGTTCATGAAAAATGCTGCTCGAGGAGTTGGTTTTAAGCGACACTCTTGGGGTTTTAAGGAAAGTCAAAGAGGAGGTGGCTGACAAGCATTTGGCAAACAGGTTTAGTTCGCCTGCAATTTTCAGTTGGAGTCTTAAGCTACACATGTTCTGAGGATCAAGAAGCCAGGACTCCTCGAGCTCGCTCATGAAAGGGCACTTAGTACAAGAGGCAAGTAAACACTGCAGCACAGGCTGGGTCTGAAACAGCACTGAAGGTTGAGAAAAAGCACAGGTCCTCCAGAGAGCTGCATGACCTTGTGGTTGGGCAAAAGGCCTAACCCCTAGGGAGCCTCTGTTGTTCCATTGCTAAAATGGAGCTCTCACCACTGAGCTCATGCGGATACTACCCGGGACAAAGTAGATACTCAATTAAGTAACCACTCTCGGGAATATGGGAGGTGATATTTCTGTCACCCCGGTAAGTTTTATCTCCATGGTAACTTTAAACTTTTACAGGCTGCTTTTATTACTCTTTCCTGGTAAAGTCTGAGGAAGTATACAAGAAGTTGGAGCTGCTGCACATGGGCTGAAAAGGCGCAAGGCCTTATAAAACTGGGAGCTGTTTATCCAAATGGAGACGCTTAATGGCTCTACCTTCCAAGGTTGCGAAATGTCCCAGAACTTCTAGGAGGCTGGGGGGCGGCTACTGAGTGAAAAGTTTACATTATGCTAAAACACTGTCAAATACATTGCACACCTATCAAAACTCAGATTTAATCAGAAGGGATTTCATTCCCTCCCTACTCCCTCCAATTATTTCATTTGCATACGACCTTCTGGGCTACAAGCTGGCTCGGTACAAGCATTAAGCTGGGGGATTCTAAATACTTGCCA